CCCCCCCAGATGAAAATAAGGCTTTGGTAGTGAGATTCACTGCTGCTACATATTGAAATTTTTAAATTATAAGATTTAACTTATCTTTAAAGTTGTGTGGATTTGTTTCCCTTCGCCATTTCTTATATAACTTTGAAAAGCCTTAATTGAATAGAATACCAATGGACCACATCAGACGCCTAGTAGTACTAGGTCTATGTCTTATCATGTTTTGTTGCTTTTCAGATCAAACGACAGCATCGCAAAATCAACACTCTCAAACAGTGGCAAAACTTGAACAATTGCTGTGCAACCTGCATGCCGAATTCAAGCAGTATCGCGAAGACAAGGCCAATTCGGATGAAGTCTATACTGTAACAATTGAAAGGCTTCGCAAGGAATCCACGGAAATGAGGATACTTAATCAGAAATTGGCATCTCAGGTTCGTTTAATAAATATGAAAGTCTCCACTCCCTTTTAAGTGCCTCATAACCAAGTATCTTTTTACTTGTAGCTTGATTTTACTTACGAGAAATTCCGTACACAAGAGACTAACGTGGAGAATTATAAAAGAGAGATTTCAGTTCTGCGTGAAATGAACGCTCGTTACACTACATCAGCTGCAGCCAGTGATGAGGCACTTAGTTCTACGCGACAGGAATCAGCTCGTCTTTCTGATCGTCTTGCAGAATCTGAAGTACAGTGTCGTCAACTGATTCGTCAAGTTGAACAATTGAAAGCTAATGGAGATCGGCTTTCTCAGGAGCTTGAAATGGAACGTAAGACCTCTCTCATGCATCAGAAGTTGATGAGTCAACTACAGTCAATTCAGGTCAGTTTGGAGCACCGAAATGAGACCGAGTTGAGACAAGCTGTTCGTCGAATTGAAAGCCTTGAGGCTCAATTAGATGAAGTGAAAAAAGATGCTAGTGAGAAGCAGGATAAACTCCTTTCCCTCAACGCAAGTCTTCAAGCGGAACTCACTAATGCTCATCAGTCACTTCGTAGTGCTGAGGAGGAAATTTCTCAACTTCGAGAAACGACCAAACCAACAGTAACGTCACAGTTATGTTCTGGTTAGTGTGTCCGCCTTCGTATGATTAGAAGTTTTTTCACTAAAATGACTAATATGACATGTCTCCTATAGACGTACCTGCTCCCCATTCTTCGGCTCTGCCTACTACAGGTGGGCAGGATCAAATTATGCCCTTGGATGAAAGTGATCAGCAACTATTAGTTCGATTTCGAGCCTTGGAGCGTGAATGTGTCTCCCTTCGCACTTCTCTGGAGGCGGCTCGGAAACAATGCAGTGAATACCAAAGTCTCGGTAATGAAATGGAGTTCCACATTCGCCAACTCACGGAAGAGAGAGAGCGAGCGAATCGCACTCACGCTGCTGACTTTGAAGATGCCATCCAACGTAAGGGCTCTTGATACGGCCTTTTGCCTATCTCATCTTTTGTTTTTAAGTTGCTTTTCCCTGTTAGGTTGCGAGTCACTGATTTTGCAATTGGAGTTGGAGAGGAGCGAGCGAGAAGATTTAATAAAAGAGAAGGTGCGCCTTGAAGGTGAGTTTGCCGCATCTTTGAAGGCACTACAAGAGACGTTGGCATCCACCCAGGCCTCACTAGAAAGTGCCGAGGAAAGACGTGAGGCGGCTCTTTCTGTGGAAGCCTCTGCTCGCGCTGAAGTGGCTGCTCACCTGCGTACGGCCAAAGAGGCCCGGGAGAAGTATGAAATGGAACTGAGACTTCACTCACAAGATGTTGAATTACTTACGGAGGCGCGCAGGTTGGCGGATGAAGCACGAGGTGAAGTTGAAGGTTTGCGAATTGCTCTAGATGCTGCCAATGCTTCTTTAAAAAAAGTACAAGATCAATTTACTGAACAATCGAATTCTTTCGAGGATTCCCGGTCACGACTTGTTAAGCGAGTCGAAGACGCCGATGCAGAGATCGCCCGTCTGCAGGAGCAAATTCTGAAGGTACTATTTGTTCGCTCTCCTCAGGTAGTAATATTATATACGCCCATTAGTGTCGCTTATGACTTGGTCCTACGGCGATTTACGCAGGCCTGGATGTGAGAATGAGTGAGTGGTTGAGAGTGGGAGGTCTATAGTTTGATGGGCAGTAATATTCCGTATATCCGCTCTCGTAATAGACTCATCATCAATGTTGGTCAGTATCCTGTTGGGTTCAAATATTATATCTGACGATCAATTCATACATTTTCCCCCATTGATTGGTTATGTGTCGCTGGGGTGCTAATTGGGTAATCCGCAGTTAGTTGATGAAGCTCGCCTACATTACTTAACCCTTCTTTTGGCGTATCTCTTCAAAAGCTTAGTTCTTAGATGAGTCTAATAGCATGACTTATTATCGTTTCATCAAATACTGATTTAATCTTGTTCTTATTTTAAATAACATGAGGGTTTTTATGATTTGTTGCACCTTCCTCTTCAGCTGACTGAGCAAATAGTGAATCTGAGAAAATTGCTGGAACACAGTAGCGAGCAATCCATACATCTTGATGAGTCGACAACACAAATTAAGGAGTCAGAGGACTTTATGCATCTACTAGAGTATCTCCGTCGACAAAAATCGATAGCCGAAGCTGCGGAAGAATCGGCCAATGCGGAAGTTAGCCGCCTTCATTTGCGAACCAAAACTCTTGAATCTCAACTGGCAGATGTTCAAGCTAAGCTCGCCGAAGAACGCCAGAAGAGTGAAACTCGTCTGGTGACCTCCAGTCAACACGCTGCCCTCATGCAGCAGGTTGAACAAATTAATATCCTCAACGAGTCAAATCGCCTTCTCAGGCAAGAGCGTGAAATGATTCGTAAAAATGCCAATGAATTCCAGGAAGAGGTTGGTTTAATTTGAGATGGTATTACATAATTAAATCTATTGGCTCGTTGTAATCTCTGTTCTTCTGTCTAGTTGGCAGCCTTACGAGATGAAATGGCTCCACTTCGTGCAAAGTGTGCTGATCTAGAAGATATGAAGGTGATTCTGACGTCGGAAAAAGCATCATTGGTTGAGGAGAAAAATCGCTGGAAGGAGAGGTGCGAGCGCTTAGTGGAGACCTCCAAACGATTGGATCCTGAGGAATTCAAGCAAGCCTGTGAGGCTAGGGATGACCTGCAGGCTCGTGTTAATGCCCTAGAGGAATCTAAGGCACTTGCAGACCGTGAGGCTGCTGGTAAAATTGCTTGTTTAGAACAGCAGGTCACTGAACTGTCTTCAAACCTCAGTCATCATGAAACTAAGAGTCAAGATCTTGTAAACAGGCTTGCTATTCTAGAGGAAAAGTGTACACAACAGGAGAATGAACTTTCTCAAAGGCAGGTCAAGATTACAAAATTGCGTGAAATAGGTCGCAAATATCGTCAGGAGGCAGATGAGCTGAAACGTCGAACCACTCAGCTGAATGAAGAGAGCAGAAAGACATCTGAGGAGGGTGTGGTGGCGATTCGTGCTGATCTTCTTGCAGCTCAAACAAGTCTTAGTATTGAACAAGATCGCTCCAATCAGTTGAGACAAGAAATCGAGCAGTTGCAACTGCTCATTCAACAGGTGGAGTCTCTTCCCGAAACAGAATTTGTAAAGCAAGCTCTTGTTTCCGATTCTCAACTCATCAGCACAAATGCTTCATCTTCCTCCGAGATTTTCAATCGCTTTAATAGGCTCCTCTCTGCTTTGATCTCAAGAATTAGCCAAATGCGTGAGAAAACTGAGGAGCAGGATGAGCGTCTCTTGCGAATGAATTTGATTGAGTCCCAACTCACGAAATCGAAACAATATTGTAGTGAGTTGCGAACGAAGTTGGCTTCTTTTATCGGTAAAGAGAATTCGATTGTCCTTCCCCCAACTGAATCGCCGTTACAACAGCAGTCAGAATCATCCGAAACCTCTTCAAAGATAAAGGCCGCGGCTGCTGTCCAGCCGGTCCAAACTCCGCCTACGGCGTCAGAAACTTCTCCTCTGAGTCTTTTGGCTGCCAGGCAGACCGCAGAGATACGTCCTCTTTCCAGCTTTGTTGCCACGGTTCTTCCCACTACGACCACCTTTATAGAGTCCCTTCCATCTTCTTCCTACCTGTCACCACTTACAACAACCTCGGAGGCGGATCCTAGTACTTCAATATTTTTGGCTAGTCGTCCGTCTGTGATTACCACAGCCAAACGCACTTATGAAGAAGCATTAATGGGTGAAGAGGGTACAGCTTTGAATGCCTCTCAACTGGAGCAAAAGGCATTAGAATCCAAGCGTCTTCGGCCTGCCTTGCCTCCTTCAGTTCAGGAACAGGAACAGCAGCCGTCAACTACACTTTTCTCTCCTCTACCCGCGGGTACCATTCCATCATCTAGTGTTTGTAAGTCTGTAATTTCCCAACTGTTGTTTGAAAGATTTATGTACTATGGATTGGGAATGCTGTCTATCCCACAACAGATTTCAATCAGTACGAACACCGTTTAACTTAACATTAGTCCAAAACACCTTGCTTTGGAAGTAGTGATGTTTAGGAGCTCACCATTATCTTTTTCATTAAATTACTGATAAGAAACTACTTCTTTTCGTGGTTTATTTGCGACACTAATTACTTAATAGACTTTGACATTAATGAAAATCGAGTTGTTAACTGAAATGGCAGGGTAATGAATGGCTAACGTTAGTGTACTGTTACTGTTTTTAAGAGCTCGGTATTTTATTTTGACACCATGGGTTTCTTACCTCTGAGTGTGTGTATTAGAACGCGAGATTAATCACTCTTCGTTAACGTACGTTGAAGGCTCAAATTTCCACTCAATTGAACGTTCTGTTTTGTAGAATTCAGGATAGATGTACGTAGATTAAAGCACTTCCCTTAAACTGGTACACAAATTGTTTAAAAATCGGATGAAATCGTTATTAACTCTACGATATTATCTTCGCGAAAAATAAAAAGGCAATTGTTTTCGTCGGCAGTATCTTAGCCAATTTTTTAGCGGTTTCAGTATCTGAGAGATTGTGGAGCATGTTAATTGCAAAAGCCTTACCATGTCTGGATTTGGAAATCGTTTGGGTGCCTCTAGAGTTTCTTTTTTCTTTCCATCGTTATTATTAAAACTTCGAGCGGCAAAATTTCATAAAATTTTGTAATTGTCCTTTTTACATAGTTCCAAGGACATGGAAGTCTTATGGTTTGTGGATTAGTTGTGCTTCTATTATCTGCCCATCACTTTCTTTACATTTCGCACTTGTTTATGATGAGGCGATGGTACCTAGTTTCCACTACACTTCCTTTTTCAGAATGCAACCCTTTTAATCACCAAATAATTGCCTCATCACGCTTGAGTGTTCTAAGGCAACACTTTGTGCAAGAAACCTTAGTGCATCAAGATTTCAACCATTTAGGAAATTAATAAAACGCTTAATTGCCGTCTGTTGTACAAGCCTATCAGCGTCCACCGAGTCTAATTTGTCAATTTACAGTAGATAGTAGTAGACTACTGTTTCGAGTAGTACCTTTGATCTTATTGCTTTCTTTTGGTGATAAAGTTTTTAGCTTTCCAGTATCCGCATTACCTGCATATATTTAAATTTCCAACGAGTTTATTTGAATTTTTTCAGCCAACGTGAAATCCGATGCACTAGCGCCAGTAGCCACGGTACATGAAAATGAAGTCCCTTCTTTTCGAGACATCGCGGTGGAAGAGGGCGAAGAAGATCATAGGGAGAGTGATAATGTGGAAATGGACGAGCAGTCTGTTTTGATTTTCGATGAAGAAGAGGGGGGTGATGCAATGCATGAGTATGCTCAGGAAAAGGACCAAGAGGTAGAGAGGAGTGATGATGCCTGTCTCGTCATTGACTCTTCCCAACAGGTTTGTCCCCTATTTCCCTGTTTAATCTCAAAATAATTTATTTCGATTTCATTATTCAGTATGCTAATTTCATATTGAGTCCAAAGTTATATAATGATCAAGGACAAAGTAGCTCAAAATGTGTAGATTTGAATAGTTTTTGCTCAATATATCTTTAGTGTTGCATGGTTAGCCATACCTTTCCCCTACGTTGAATGCCTGCTGTATTATGTTCTTGCGGCTTCATTTTCAACCCTAATGTACTCTAAGTTAATGTCACAGTACGTCTTGTCGAGAGTTAAAATGGGGAGAAATAATTCTACCCCGCTACAACGGGCAACCGGCAATAGCTTATTTTGTTTCTTCTAAATCAGAATTTATTTCTTAGTAGCATTATGTTCATCAACAGATAACAGTTTCCTAGTCTGGCTCACTTCTCTCATTTAAGCCCCAATTTTTTCCCCTTATAAGTAGAATAAATCTGGTGGGTTCTAGTTGTCGCATATGTGAACAAGTGCTTCGCAAATGGCATTTTTAGATTTTGTGTGCCAGTGGCTATCAAAAGTGTTTAGTAAACTTTGGTGCACAAGAGTATTGTAGATGTGGGAACTTCTTTCTAACTAATATATATTACCACAGTCCATGTATTTTTAGGAGGAAGAGGAGGATCCTGCGGAGGTGGGAGAGGAAAAGTCAAGTGATTACGAGGAATACATCGTGGAAGAAGGTGAGCAGAATGATGAGTATAACGAGGGGAAAGGGGAAGATCAGGACGATGAACAAAAAGAGGTCGTGGATGTTGAGGAAGAAGACGAAGGGGATTACCAGATGCAGGACTCATCTGAGGGTGAGGAACAGGAAGATGATGAATATAAAGGAGAGGGTGGAGCCTGCGATCCCGTCATTGTTGTTAGTAGCAGTACGTTCTTACACCATTTTCTTTTTATTATACGTCATGATTTCCTAGGAAGCTCTTTCATAGATAATGTTCCCCATTTGTTGCCCTAATGAATCTTCCATTAGGAATAGAAAATAGGCATCCTTGAACCCCTCTCGAGAAACTCAAATTCTATCTCAATTTCCAATACATTCTTATTTCTTCTCAGTTGCCTCTTTATGGTCTATTCACTTTGTGCGTGTGTGTGTGTGTGTTTGTGCCGTATTATCACTCACTAACTCTTGGTGTTTTTTCGATCTACAATCCGATATCGCATCCAAAATGACAGAACGAACAATTATTCCACTTCAGTTCGAACTGTGTCCAATATTGCTTAACTCATATTAAATCAATTAAGCAATTTAACAATTTTTCGCTGTTTTAACAAAGGGAAAACAAAGCAAATTATTGATTTCATCTATGAAAATAGAAACGTTGTATTAATCATTTCCAGCATCACTATTGGCTCCACTTCTACTATACTTAAATATATATATTGAACGCATTGAACTCGTGTACTCTAATTTGACGGAGGTATGCGTTAACTGCTTCGCCACTTATGCCCTTCCACTTATAAGCTCTACTCTAATCAGCAAAAGCGACCTTAAAAATTTTGCCCATTTTTTACATTTCTCAATAGCCGAGCGAATATTGTGCTCAAATACTGTGATAATTACGAATCAGAGGGCATCGGTTTTGATGTACTCTCAACTGGGTATTAAGAACTCTCATTCTAGGGTAATTATTGAAAAGTATTTTTCGGCGTTCAGTTTTGCTATTAAGGTTTTCTGTTTAATGTGATTGTTTTTCCCTTTGTTAAAACACTAATGTTATTTTTGGCTTATTTTAGGTGAGGAGGAAAACAATGGAAGTGACGAAGATGAGGTAGACGAGGGTGAAGAAGGGGGACAGGAGGAAGACAGTGAAGCTGTGGAGGAAGAAGAAGAAGAGGAGGAGGAGGAAGAAGAAGATGAAGGAGGACATGAACAACATGGAAAAAAGATGGCAGAATTGGCAGAAGAGTCTCCACATGACAACCAGAAGAGTGTAGACGAGAAATCCCAATCACCACCGCGTCCATTCTCTTCCATTTTCACTTCTCCAGCTCCTAATTCTGGAGGACTGTTCAGCTCAGCTTTGACGGAGTCGTCTGCTACACCTAGTGGAGGTCTCTTCTCGATTTTTAAAGCTACCCCAACCACCAAGACTGTTTCTCTCTTTGGTTCCTCTGTGACTTCATCAACTGCACCGTCCTTCGGCAGTTTAGCTGCCGATCCTCCGTCCACGACACCCACGTTCCTCTCTGCCTCAAAACCAAGCAGTACCTTAGTTTTTTTGTGATGTTTACTACATGTGATCGGTTTAAAATTACCCATATTTTGGGGGCAGAGCCCATCTAGTATTCTGTTAATGATTTCCATGTTTAATTCGTCCTTGTGGCACTTTATTTTGCAAAGCTGCAGTTTGCGTCACTGTCGTCTTTCATCCCCTAATATGGCTAGGCTACGGTTGACTTAGGCTCAAATACTAAATGAGGATTTTATGATGGGGAGTTGATGTCTGAAGATCAAAACATAGTCTGACTGAAAATGGCTTTGTTAGAATAACTGTCAAGCTGCCGCCATCGATATCCGTCCGCATATGGTGAAGAGCGACAAATCGCAACAATTATCATCCAAGGGAAGGAAAATACCCACGGCTTTGAGTTTTTTATCGGCATCCTGTCATCCGGCTGAAAATTTGTGTTACTTACCGTAGAAATTAGTAGCTTTACTTCATGCATGTGTCCTTTAAGTAATCTGACGTTGTGTTGACATTTGGTGAACGTGCTGTCAAATTTATTCACCTCTGACAAATTATTGCAAGCTTGGTAATGATGCTCAAGTTTCCTTCGATAGGCTTAATTTGCCAATGTTTGTTTCGACGATCTCGTTTCCCATGACAAGATTTGTTTTATATTTTCTTTTCATTTAAGTGGAATTGCCTAGGTACTGTTTTCTGCCTGTTTTCGTTTCGCTATCATGTTCTTCGTACGAGAATTCTGGTCGACACTCATTTGAATTCACATGCAGCATTTTTGCCTAATTATTTCACACCAATCTACCAAACAATACATATTATTAATTTCAGAGGAAAATACCGGAAGTGCAGAAGCGAGTAAGCAGAAGATTCGTCCAATAGTCTGGACGGAATCATCATCAACGGAAGCTGCTGCTGGTCCTTCTCGGAAGCATAGTGCTCCAGGTTCTAGTGGTGGTCCCTCATCAACAATACCAGGAGGAGGGCTTCCCCGTGGATCATTCACTCAAGCTTCTGGCCTTCTGGGTGCATCGCGTCGGAAAGGAAATTGGGGAGCGGGTCCCTTCGGCTCCGGAGCCCCTCGAGGAGCGCCAAGGGGCGGGCATCGTTGAAAGAACTGCATAATGGTCTCATTTGCTATTTATATTTCCATGCATTTTGAAATAATACGATTCATATACTCACTTGTGTCTATTTATCTTTTTTCCTTTCAACGGAGCCTGTAGTCCTTGTGATTTTTCAATCTTGTGTAAAAGAATATAGTATTGAAACTATGAATTAGGTAGTAAACGGTGCTTTTCGGATCAGTAATAATTTACTTTAGTTCAGTGACAACTTCACTGTCTCCTTCGAGGTGTTGGGGACGACGAATATTTGCATTTAGTTATTAATGGTTGTTCCTAATCTTTTCTCTGCCAGAGCTACATCTGTTGTGTATGTCCTAATTTGACAAGACAATTATTTAAACTGCGTGTAAGCTACTTCTATAGTTAAATTTTCCGAATATTTTGGCAGATATTCCGTAGTGTTTAGTGAGTGCTGGTACGATTTCGATTCAGTGAACTGAACTGTGAGCAGCAACGCCTACAGTCGTCGGTGTACAGAAATCTAGTATCACTACCCAAAATGATGCTCAACTCTTAGGTGCAAGCTTTGAGTTTGGTGTATTTGTTTGGACACAACTGGATGACACGGTCTGGATTTCATGCCCTTTAAGTACTCTCACTGCATCGCCTACCATGCCATCCGTAGTCACTGTCAGATCATTTAATGCATAGTCAAGCAATTGAACAAAGATGAGTCCGCAATTCGGTTCATTTATTAGTGTTAATATGAAAAGCCTTTCGGGAGTAAAAGACATTGGCAGAAATAGAGGGCGCAAGTGACTAGGTATACTGAAGGGCACGCTATCAGAGGCAGTATATCCTGCGTTCACAGAGCACGCTTCACTGGTGAGGTCTTTCATAGGAATAGAACATAATGATCCGATCCAGCAGTCTCCACTCATTCCACATAAATTGATGTTGTGACTAATCGGTAAATGCTCTTCAATTCCATGCCTCCCCTCCACCATCTTAAACACTTAATTACAATAAATGGACTCCAGTATTTGAAAAATTAATTAATCTTGATTTGCAAATCTGTTTACATCTCAGAGGAGGTCACAAAAAGCCAACCTCTGGCTTGAAATCTCGGGTGGCGACAATTTCTTTAAGTATCCTATTTTTATCCCGATGCATGCCAACTATTATATTGAATATATAAGTATGCACACAGTGGAAGATTATGAGGAAAGGAAATACAATTTATACAGAGAAGAAGAAAGGCAAATGAGGATCAGTCTATCTCCATATCCTCTTCATCGGAATCGGCTTCCAAGTCTTCATCATCAGCATCATCTCCTTCAACTTCAGATTCAACAGGGAGATCGGATGAAATAGCAGTCAATTCGGAAACCATTTCGGGATTCTGCGCACACGCTTCCAAAGCAGCATTCACATAAAGTCGCACGGTTTGAGGTTCGGTTTCGTAATATAACTGCTTAGCAACAAGCGCAAGTTGAAACAATACGTCTGGATTTGCCTCCTCAATTTCATTCAGTAAAGTGAGAATCTTCTCAGCTTGCTAGGTAGTGAATTTGCATTAAAAATGCATATCCGTCAACATACCTGATACATTCCCAATTCACATAGCAACAGTGTCATTTCGAAGTGCTTTTCAGGAGGCATCCCAGAGATCTGGAAATACAGAATTTAGAAAGTGTAACTCATACCTCTTCTATATCAGCGATTAGCTTGTCACCCTCCAAAACTTCCACAGGCGTATCTTCTCTTTCAATTTGCTCATCAAATATCCGCTCAATTTCTGGCAAGAAGAGGGACAAGCACTTTTCGATAGCACTTTTTGCATCCTAAAAAGACGTCAGCAATATCTTACAATAATTTACATCTATGCGGCCAGTGAGGAAAAGGCAAGAAGCCTTGATATACCATGATAATGGATTCTGCTCACAAATCTCGATTGCCTTATCAACCTCCTGTTGCACTAACGCGGAATTATTCGAATCATCGCTTGTTATAGAAAGTAGAAGTTGTACAAAATTGGGACACCTACCACAGATCGACCATATAGACTTCAGCAACAGCACAGTGGGCAAACGAAAGATCAGACTTGAGACTTTGAAGTCCAGATGAATCATTGGAGTCAAAAGTCTAAAAATAATAACTTTTACACAAAAGGTACTTACTTTGAGCAAATCGTTAATAATTCCAATACCCCTACGGTATAAATTTACAGCCTCCTCGCCTGCCAATAATTGAGCTAGAGACATGTACTTTTCGTAGCCATTGTCGGGGCAAATTTCAATTGCTCTTTTGAAATGCTAAAAAAAATATTAACATATTTAATCGAAGCATACTGATATTGCCTCATCAGTCCGCTCAAATTGGACGAGGATATTAGCAGAGGATTGTAGTGCATCAAGCATCACAGAATTATTTTCATCTGTAGATGGTAATTTGAAAAGTTTCTCAATAATCATCTCGTAAAGCTTCAGGGCTTTAGACGAGTTAAGTTTTTCATAGCAAGCATCAGCCTAGAGTAATAAAATATTTTAAACAAAGGATACCTTTTTTAAGACTTCTCTCGGGGAGAACTGCTCAAGTTCAAGAGCCCGTGATCCAACGCTATGGACCTTAGACTTTCTATGTGATTTTGGCATTCAAAAGTAAACAATAATAACAGGTAGAAAACAAGGAATTTAGATTGTCAATAAATTTAATGAAAGTTATAAAACGTGCACACGCTGAAAAATTTTCAAAGTGGTGGGAATTCTGTTATACGATTAAACAAATAAATCTTATAAAATACATTTGCAGCCAAAAAACATTTAAAATTTCATTAAAAATGTCTTTCTTTGACGGTTTTATTAAAATTTCCATCTCACGTGCACTTATTGTTTTATTTAAACTATTTCGAATATTCTCATTCCTCATTAGGCTAAATGGAAATCTAAAGATGACTTATCTGTTCCTCATCTCTCATTGGACTAACTATGGGCACAAAAATGGGTTCGTTTAACTTGAATTAATTAAACTCTAATTTTTTGTTTTTGTTCGAATCTAGCCATTTGTCGTATCAATATGAAAATACGACCGCAGAGTGGAATAAAATGACATTGATTATATTTTTTAAATCTATCCCCACCCAAGCTTTAGAGCTATTCAATACACTGCGTAAATATTTGTTTTTAACAGAAATTAAACATTAAAATCTGGGTCCTACTCTTTTCCAACCCAGGATTTCATGACGGAACGGCATGACTTTTTGATTTTATACCTCTCATTTACTAAATATATTCGTTTATTGACGATCATCTTGTGCATTTGCTTCCGTAGGGTACCAGCTCCCCAAAGAACAAAGTGGTATTAATATTTTATGCTCCGAATAAAGTCCGATTTCTTCAAGCCTCAATACAAGCTTTCCTTCTAATTCCTGCAGCATTTTCTTGATGTATGTCGCCACCCGCGTTAGCAATTAGCTTTCTCAAGTTAGACATGTTCAGCGTTAGCGGACTTTCTGGCGACATAGTAGGATCGTAGCCACTAGAACATTCTAGAGGGTACGACCGCGTGAGACCAATTTTCAGTTATCTTGCTATCAATGTCCATTCAAATTACGGTAAACGTAATCGATTGCGAACTATCTTCGCTGCAATCATGACTACAACAAACGTTTCTCACGCAGTACGCCTAATTCCACTACATCAATACGAACTAGGAGAACTGGCCATGGGGAAAGCGCCAAGGCCTGCATCCGAAGCGATTCGTTTCAAACATAATATACTCCGCTCAGGCTCAATACCACTGCGAAAGATGCAAGAGTACCACAAAATAAGCGCAGGCTAAAGGCTGTAATATTTGCATGCGCCAAGGCAAATTCTTCAAAAAGAAAGCTACATTCCAATTTGATAAGATTAAAAAGGGCTTCTTATGTAAAAGAAGTTCAATGCAAGGGTTAACTATAAATAATCATGAGTAAATAGAGCATTGACATCGACCTTCTTGTCAATCTCCCATAATTCTTCGATCGATTTAGCCCATCGCTCCAAGAAGTATGTTGATCCAATTGTAACTGACGAGACAGGATTAAGAGACTTGGATCTATTTTGGTCAAGTTTAATAAAATTCTTCTCAAAGGAGGGCATTCTAAGAAGAGCAGAGAAGATTAAATTGGATTTGCCTCGAAAATGGTCCTCAATACTACAATTGCAGCTATCTTGATCCCCACATTGGGAACATCGTATCCAATTAATGGTAGACATTTCATGTCGCGCCTAATATCAAAAGCAAATACTAGAATTAAATAAACAACAATAATATAGGGTGATAAAACGAGAACCAAGGCAGCTTTTCATGGTTTTATTTCTAACAACGCAAAAAATGACTAAAAGGGTAAAAGTTAAACGCTACACTACTGTTAGGCACTTAGTCGGAAATACCAAAAGAGCTACAGTTGGCCAACACGACTTTGAATTTCGGATTGGTTTTGAGTTGATTTTAATACATTATTTATTTTATTTAAGTTAAACTAACACTCTTAAATCAAATTCTTTTTTATATGTCGTAAATCAATTAAATAATTTGATCGAAACTTTAGGTTTACTAAATTCTATTTATGGAATTTTTTAAATATTTATTTATTTCAAATGGCAGGCTTTATGACATTTATCATTAGCCCTCAAACTTTGACTTCAGCTTCCCCCATGGGTGGGAGGTACATGTATGGCAGTTAATTAATAGCAGTTCATTAGCCGTCTTCTTGTTTCCCAGTATCTCTGGCTTTCCGTCGTTGTCTTTAGGGCTGGACACCGAATCAGGTGGGTCTTCTCAATTCCCTCCTGTAGGTTACATAGTATGCTCCCAATCTGTGAAGGTGTTTTGCGAGACAATCATATCCGGTACGTAGTCTAAACTCAGCAACGGTTTCGATTTTT